ACTGTGTATGGAATGACCATGGAGCCGGAGGCGATGATAAATCAACCTTAATTGTTTGTCCGAATGTTTTGTCCACAGCCCAGCGCGAAATTCAATAGGTTATGGCCCAGGCGTGGTTGCAGCTCTCCTTCGCCTCCTCACACATGCACGACGAAATCTAAATTTAGTAACATAGCTACGCAATCGATTTGTAGATTTACTATTATTCGGAGAAATAAACTTGAATAAACTAGCCTACGTACAGATTTTAAAGCAGCCATTATAAGTTATTGAGCTACATTATCGTTCCACCGTGCCGCGCTGTGTGTACGTGGGCCGGTTATAGCAAGGAGGTATAGCTCCTTGGTTATAGCAGCAGTAGCAAGTAAACAAAGAATGGGTTGTTGACCATGGGATAAGTTTAAATTTACCTCCGGAATAGTTTCGTTACACGTATTTACCGTGAGCTAAAACTTGCTCGAACAGTCGACTACCCACAAAGTGCTCAGCACGATTACCCGGTGAAATAAACGGAATACGGTTGGTGTTTTTTGCTTGAACAGGCCCTTAGAGATCAGTGAATTGGAGAAGAATTTATACCTTTTACTATAACAGGGTCCTCAGTCACCAGAGGTCACTTCTGTGCTATCTGGCTAAATGAGCTTTCTTAACAAAACTAATTTGGTTTTTCTGCGCATGGTGGTATCCATCTGCACTGACTTACGTGAGACAACTGATAATAGAGTAGTATGAACTTTTGAGAACAGGTTTATTTTATAGGCGATTTTTTTCTCGTTTGTTGAGTGCGGGAGGTAATCCTGATTTCTGGAAGACTCTCGCAACTTAAAGGAGACTTTGGACCCCTGCTATACTGTAGGCCTATAGCCTAGGGTTTGTTGTCAACAATCATTTATGCACTTTGGTTGGAAAGTGGTCATCACAAGTCTAAAATTTATTTTTTAAACTATCAAATGTGTACTAAATTAAAGTTTAAGCTGACCCTAGACTTACAAGATTTTGGCTCAGTTTGGCTTGGGCAACACAACCTTTTATGTATGGCAAAATAAAACAATTTGTACTTACTAGTAAGGATATGCAGATATAATTATAATTATTTATATTGAGTGACAGAATCTTTATATTGGCAAATTTGATTAGAATATTTGTCATTTTGTTTTAATCAAAACATTCTGATCAAGAAATTAATATTTTACAATCCTCATCATCCCTATCCTGAGCGAAGTCTTTACTAATGTCATCATCATCCAAATATTGTCTTTGTCGTAATTATTGTATAAACTATCCTGAGCAATGTAATGTCTTAACCATCGTTGTCGTGGCCACAGCAACCATTTTGGGCAAATGTCTTTATTATTGTCATTCGGCAGCAGTAAACTTTTTCAGCGATGACTTTACCCATCGTGATTGTAGCCGCAGCAACTATTTTGAGCAGTTTTTACCATCATCGTCATCGCAAGTTCCACAAATATCATAAGCAATAGCATTTACCCTTGTTGTCATAATTGAACAACAACATCATCATCATGAAATCATTATAATAATCATCATCACCATGAGCATAATCATTATGATGAGAATTATCATCACCATCGCTATAAACATCATCACTTTCCTCAAAATGCCTTCAAAATTTGTTTTTGCCTTACTTTGATGCTGGAACCTGGTACTGCATGCACCACTGTAGCCTGTCCTAAGTAATCTTTCTTACTTAAGTTCTCTATCTTGTCTTTTGGAGGTCTGAAAATTTCCTTTTGGGGTAAGCTGAAAATAGTTGGAATTAGACCATCCTAGAAAACAAAAATATATATTTGAAGGAAATTCTCCAAATTTTAAAATATTTCTATTAAAAAATGTATATCTTTAACGTTATAAAATATCTGACAAAGTTTTTGTTTTCTGTGTGTTTATTATGTATTATAAGATGAATTTTTTAAGTTGGTAATTATAAACACGATTAAAAAAAAAAGTAATTTGACCTGCAGTTTGATCTTGGCAGACTGTATCACCTGAATATGATTTTTTTCTCTTTGGCATTTATCAGCCTCCGTTAGAATATCAAGGGCCCATTCAGGATCTTTTGTCATTGCTGCTACTGCTATGGATAAGTTAAGTAAAATCTGGAAAATTCAAAAAATGAAAACCATCATTCTTGTGTGTATTGTTGAAATTATAATACATGCATTCATTTCTAGTGTCAATTTCAGATTATTTAGAACAACTAATGTGTTAATTGAATGGCAACCAAAAAAGTTGAAATGTGTCATAACCCAGTAGGGCTATCACTCGTCTTTTACAGCTATGAAGGCAAAGGAAAGGAAGCCAGTCATCGTGATCTATACAATTAATCCTTGAAGCAAGCTTGTGCAAGGCAGAGTTTGTATATAGGTAAGGCTGTTGAATCTTTACAGAAAACTGTTTAGAACTTCCGGTATGTTTAATTTTTTTCAGGTTTTACGGTAAGATTCTGTAGGTCTTTTTTTCCAAAAACTGAATGGACTAAGCTTTAACATTACATCACAAAAAACTATTTTGTCACTTATTGAAGTTAGTGATGATTTTGATGCCTCTTATACTGCTTTACACGCAGCAAATAAAGATTTTTTTTTTTCTCTTTTGTGGGAATTTCCCCCACCTTTATACTTTCTCTTTTTGTTATTTTTTACATTTTTTTTTCCTCAACGACATAAAAAATATCAAAAATCAAGGAAATTAAAATTAAATTGCACAGGATATGGGGGTCAGTCCACCATGGCTGACTAAATTGTTCAACTTTGGTTTTACCTGCATTATCATTTACGTTAACATTCTAAATTAAATCATTATCTCAAAAACAATTTTTGAAAAAGTGCATCCATTCAGAATTGTGTATACGATTTAGAACGCATACAATGTGCAGATCCACTCATATACATATATATGTATACATACGCACCTTATTATCATACACACACATAAACATTTAATATTTAATATTTTTTTTCTTAAATTTATTTATTTTTTTCGAAATAACACCATATAAATTTCTCATATACATTTTAAGTTTAATACATTTACCTACACACATATAGTAGTACAAGGTCAGGTAATCATGCTGACCAATAATGTTTCTTTATAATGCACCTATTATTATCTGCATACATCTATATAAATACACATATACAAAAACACTCACATACATATACTCATGTACATATACATACATACATACATACATATACATACATATAGACATAGACATAGACATAGACATACATATACCCATACATACACATACATACATAAGTCTCTATTTATTTATTTATTTATTTTCTCTTTAATAGTGAGAACACCACATTTATACTTCATAATCATAGGCCTAGGGCTACATCTCTCATACTGTAATAATATTTTTTTTTTTTCAATATATTTAAAACATATACCTTTGGCAGATTCTTTTTATATACCAAAATTAAAATTCCCTAACAATTAGAGTAGGCCTAACGTTTGAATATCTTGCACGTTATATTTGAATACAATCCATGGATTTATACAAACTGGTTTGTTTAATTCGCTTAATATTTTAATGTAATAAATAGAATATGTTGCAATTGAACACAATGTATTTTTGTAGATTGAGATGGAATTGATTTTTCCTTAATAAAGCTTGCATAAATAGATTTTGTTTTAGACTTAACTATATTACTTATTATGTTACATTCGTTTGTAGCCATTTGCTCATCACGGTTATGATTTTTAATTATAACAATCCATTCTTTTGGAATAGCATCAATTAGTGATGCGTATTCACTGAGCCAATTTCTCTTAATACATAATTTTTTAAGTATTTCTTCTAGTTTCATTAATCGATTATATATAATTATATCATTGATTTTATTAAGTCCTGAGAGAATCTAGTTCTTATAAAATGAAGATTTATTTCCATGCATAATTATTAACTTATTTCCCCATAAGTTTTGTTTAACTACTGCTTCGTAAGTGTTAACTATACAACTCTCAATTTTGTTTAATTCAACACAGTACTTTATGAGGTTAAAATAAAATGGTGGTACGTTGTTAAAGTTAATATGATCTTTTATATTAATACTTGACATAGTAAAAACTAGACGTGCATCTGCAACTTTATTTATATATAACGGCAATAATTTCCATCTTACATGTTTTCTACCAAGTAATTTTAAGGGCTTTTATGTGTAATGAGAAATCAGGCATATTTATGCCACCTTCAATTATATTGCCGATTAATGTTTTTCCATTCCATATAAACTCGTATGTCAGTTTGTTTATTTTGTTGATAATATCCTCTGGAACGTCAATAATAGATGCATTGTAAGTCAATTTAGACAACGCGAGGCTCTTTAAAATTGTCACCTTTCCAAACAGAGTAAGGTTTCTAGCCTTCCACTTATTTAGTAACATTTCTAAATTAATTAACTTAATTTCCCAATTTAATTTTTCACATTCCTTTTTATTGTATCCCACGTATATTCCCAATATTTTTATTGGTTCATTTACCCAATTTAAATCACATGGTTTTTCTATTCTATTTAAATTCTTACCAACCCATATGGCGTTTGTTTTATTTTTATTAAGGGTCATACCGGAAACCTCACAGAAATTACTAACAATGTGTAGCCCATGTTCAATACTATTTTCATTACCAACAAACAGAATAATGCCATCTGCCAGTTGTGCAATGCGAACTTCTTCGTTCCCTTTATCCGGATCAGGCACAACTATTCCTTTATAATTCATATCGTTTCTGATATTACACGCCATAATTTCAACTACTAAAATAAACAAAAGCGCCGACAATGGACAGCCTTGCCTTATCCATTTCTCATCTTAAAACTTTCAGATATGCATCCATTGTTGACAATGACACATTCTGTATTGTTATAAATTGTGTTTACCCACTTGCAAAATGAGTCACCAAAATTAAATTTGTTTAAAACTTTAAACATAAAATCTCTACTGACAGAATCAAAAGCTTTTCTAAAATCAAGCGATAGTATAGCACCTTCTACCTCTTCTTCTGCAGTATAATGCAAAATATCGTTAATTAGGCGAATGTTTTCGCCCGCAAAACGTCCTTTAATGTATCTTTTTTGGTCATCATTAATTAAATTTCCAATTATTTTATGCAGCCTGGAACACATGATTTGAATTAACATTTTATAATCGGTATTTAGCAGTGTTATAGGACGCCAATTTTCTAGTAATTGTTTATCTCCTTTCTTATATAGTAAATTTATTACTTTATAAGTATAAATACTTATTTTATTTTTGTGTATGACTCATTTCACCACTATAATAGCAGTCATTTAGTGCATTGAAGACAATTCTTTTAATGTCTTTCCAGAATAATTTATAGAACTCTACTGTCAAGCCATCGCTTCCTGGAGCTTTATTTAATTTCATTTTCCGTATTAGGCATCTTCACATTCATCTAACATAACAATTCCTTCACAAACACTATATTGTTCTTCAGCTAAAATATCTACATTTGATTGATCCAGGTGTTTGTTGATATCAGTATGGGAAATCCCCTTATTTGCACACAGTTGTCTAAAGAAGCGAACTTCCTCACACAGGATTTCCTGTGTTTTTGTCAACATTACGCCATTTGACTTTTTATTTCTTTTTATATGTTTTTTTGTTCCATTATTTTTTTCTAAACCAAGAAAAAATCTAGTGCTACGTTCGCCCTCTACTATCCATTTGATCCTTGAACGAATGTATGCACCTTTTGTTTCTTGTTCATATATTTTTTCTAATTTTTTTGTTTTTTCTTCGATTTCTGTCTCAAAGTTTTCATTCAAATTACTAGCATTATTAACCAGAGCAACATTCAATCGTTTGATATCTTTTTATAAATTTTCTTTTATTGCGTTTTTTTCTTTATTTATATTTTTACCATAATAAATTGAAACGTCTTTAATTTTAACTTTTATTAATTCCCACAATAATTTGGGACTAAGGTCTGTTTCATTAGCCTGTGTTTTTTGAATAATATTTATAATAGACTTTTGATAGTCAATATTATCC